CCACTAAGTATCCTTCCCTTGTTAGTTTTCATATACTTAAAATTAGATTTAGAAAAGTTTGATTGGAGGAATGCATACATCTGCTTGACGATGACTACTTGAGACTAAAAGATAATATATAGTAAAATTACTGTTTCTTAATTTGCTCTAACGAACCGCACACCTGTTCAGTATTTTGTGAGAGCGCATATATCTATTATTCTTTCTAAAGGATTCTGTACACTGCAAATCTTGAATAATAAGAGGTTGGAGAAGCTTTTCGCTTAAATAGAGCGTTTTTCTGACTTATGTTTAAAGCGCTAAAATGAGCACTGTTTATAGTGAAGAAATGTAAACGTAGAATATTTAAGTCTAACTTTTACCATCAACTAATGTAAATGAAATTCCTATTATTCTTCGGTTTCTTTAAAGATCCTAGACATACTATAACATAGCCAAAATGCTTAGCCTTTGAGCAGAGGTATCAGTCACGAACCTGGTCTTTTAATATAGATCAAATTCCTTGAAAAAATTTCTCAAATACATACTTCCCCATCTGGATATGATTTTTGGAAAAACCCGATAAGCATTTTCAAAAGATTATATATGTACAAGGGAAGTCCCTCCAAAAACAAATTTTCAGACCTTTGGTGCACAGGACTATTCAGCCAGTTTACTGAACTTCCCCAATTGTGAAGGACTGGAGAAACGCGAGTTTCAACATTCCTACAGGTGTGTTTTCTTGTAACCACCACAGAGCCAATCCAAAAGTGTAGAAACACTGAACTTTGGTGTACAAATATCTATTGAATTTCCAGACCTTTTGACCTTCTTCTTAATATGGATCGCAAGTTGAAAATCGCTCATGAGGTGGCCCCATGCTTACGCTCTCATAACAACATGCTTAAGTACCTGGAGAAGTTCCTCAATTCGTATAAAGGTACGCAGGCAAGTCGTTCTTGCAATAAATGTGTTGGAATAAGAGTTTGGTTGGATTTGTTATAATTTTGAATGGCGCAATTTTTTAGAAGTAATGTACGAAAGTAAGAAGATACTCATATTCCTATCCTCTGTTCCTATGTCATCATTTACATTCCTCCATAGAAGGGTGGCGAAGGGGAGAAAGCAGAATTATAGTTTTCATATCAGGCTCATCGAAGTTCTCACTTTCGTGGGTGACGAAATTGGCGCATGATGATACCGGACGACTTTACAAAGGGGATAATGACTTGTACAACTTCTTTGTCAAAAATCGACAAGAGGTAAGACTGAAATGAACATATCAATTGACCTTAATCAAGTATAAATATTTATTTACAGCTCGACGACTCATTTGTATTCTTTTTGGGCGATCATGGTCCTCGTTTTGGAAAGGTAACCCTTGGCGCTTTTTCTCTTCTCTTCACTTAACCATAGTTAGATTTTTAGGAAACGAAAACCACTTTTGGAAGAAATGAGGCAAACAATCCATTTTTGTACATGACGGTTCCTAAGACGTTGAGAAATTCAGAAATGTTCAAAGTGCTAAAAGAGAAAGGATATGAGCTCATTACTCCGCATGACATCCACGCAACTCTCAAAGACATTCTCGAGGTAGGTGAAAAATACTATTTTAAAATGTTGGATTGTCACATGAGCTTTTTGCCACCTTTCGAATTTTCCATAATTTTCTATCACCATCAACAAAATTTATGAATCAGCACTAGCATATATCCTCGCTTTGCCATTGAAATGGATACTCTTGAGGAAAAGTTGTGCGCCATTTTTCATCTTCTTTATCAAGAAGTTTTTATCAGAGTTTTTAAACTTGCGAAACCAAAATTGTAATTCATATATAAGGGGTTTACCTCAATTGTTTCCCACGCATTGCCTGCATTCCTTCCTGTTTAAGGAAGAGTAGTACATGCTCGGATGAGTTGATATAATAAACCTGCATTAATAGCACAGATGTATCGCGATTCGTAGTCTGTTTGAGTGGCCAGTCAAGGAATATTTGCTGAAAGGATCATTTATCTAAACCGATAGTGTTTAAGTAAGCGCAAACCTAACGGATTGCACATACAAAACTTTTTGATTCTTTTTGTCTATTCAAGCAATCTGTGCAACTAATGGCGCCTTCAAAAGCGGTCAGTTTTGTTCATAAAAAAAGAGCATTTAAAATTAGACCGTTCCTTGAGCACCACTGCTGTCTCAAGAGTACCTAAACTCTCGTATTGCTGCATGCATACAAGGTAGAGGAACGACGACTTACAGTGGAATAGAAATTTAAGGCCCTTGATGATACAGTACTGTAGGTAACAGTAAGA